AATGAACAGTAATGCCATTTAAACTGTTCATGTTTTAGTCTTAGTCCACCCTTATTCTAAAAGACCTAAAACATATATATTAAAACAGGCCAGCACTTGGGATGCACGAGCTCGTGAGCAGAGAGAGGAGTTTTTTCCAGTGCTGGTGGTCGAACCATGTAGCAGCCAGGGAGGGAGGGGATGGCACAGCCGCTGAGCAGCCTGCCCGGACCAGACCATCTCCTGTAACCTGGACAGGGAGAGAAAACTGACCAGCTCAGGATCAGCCTGTTATCTAAATCACTGAAGCTTTTAATCTTGGAACTGGAATTACCTGGGAGAATAATCAGTCTAGTGTTTCCAAGGTGTGTTTTATGAAATGCTATTTCGGTAAGATGGTGATGGTCAGTACCTGGGAAAGGACTCTATACTCCCTAGGAATGAGAAACTGTGGGTTTAATTTGAACATGTTTCTTCACTGCTGATGCCTTAGAGCCAGTCATATGCTAATGAACTTTGTAACTCTCTGAGAGTATCCAACATTCATCAAACCTGTTTACCCACAAATTCCTTTTCATAGTTTATTGTATGGAGCAAATATTCATGGAAGCCTACCTATTTCCACAAGTGCTGGTCTAAGCTAAACTCCCTCTCATAGATGAGAACACTGAGGCGCAGGTTTGGAGGGTTAGGGTGGGTGGATGCTGGCTTATTTACCCAAGACCCTCATACTTTCATGTCAAGTTTTAGGCAAATAGTCTTTCCACCGCAATGCGCTGCCTTAAGAACAATATGTGATTCCAAAGCTGGTAATTGTAGGTTTCTGTCTCCTTAGCAACAAAACAACTGGACAATTGTTAAGCCAGGGCTTAGTCTTATGTGGTAAAGATAATCGACAGATAGTTACTGCACATTTACTCTGTTCAGAGAACTATACTAATCATGGTAGAGGGATGGAAAAAAATGCCATAAACCTAAAAAACATTTAAAATCCAGTTTGAAAAATAGAATATTTAAGCACCCTGTAAAGTTAATATGACCACCCAGGATATTTGCCAGTGAGGACCAGCAACATAATTTGTGAGACTCAGTATAAAATGAAAAATGTGGGGCCACTTGTTAAAAAATTATAAAGAATTTCAAGATGGAGATAGCAGAGCATTCTGTGAAGCATTGGGACCTCCTAAGTCAGGGTCCATCTGAGTTTGGGGCCCTGCGTGGCTCAGGCCACATGCCCATGAGCCCCAGT